CCTCCGACCTCCGCTACGAGTTGGAGGCCCAGACGTCTGTTGCCAGACATAAGAGACAACCTCACCTGCGTGAGCCGTAACTGATCTGGGACTAGGCTGTTGCTCGGGCCGTGCACCTTTCACTGAGGATGAGCCAATGCTAGCTGAGAACCTGGAACCGCTTGTGTTCTGCGAGTCATTGCACATCCCGGCTTCCGGCCATGATATGCCATCGGCGCTGCCTCCGTTGTAAGATAGGTCTGAAGTATGACCGTTCGGATTGTTGTACACTTCGCAGCCGAGTATGCATGGCTTCCTAACAACTTAGAAGTCTATTGCATGGAACCCAGCTTCGAATGTGGCGAAAATGTTGTCGTTTGCTGTGGCCCGGTCGAAGAGGATCGTCAAATAGCCCCGATCTTGGTGCCGGATTCAAGCAGCTAAAAGTCGGCACTCGCTGCAACGATTGTGCTATTGATGTAGCATGGCGGTGAGGGTTCAAATGCTCGACGCAAGATGACCCCCGATGTGCTCTGAGAAGCTCGAGCTGTGTAGAGTCATGAGCCCACATCTAGGCTCTCGTCTCATCCACTGGGGGGATGGCGCAGTTGGGAGCGCGTTAGACTGAAGCCCACTTCAGGAATCCAATCTAAAGGTCGCTGGTTCGATCCCGGCTCACCCCATTTTTCGCCTGCGTGGCATCACTTTTGTTCTTGGAACTTGCTGTTCTAGGACCCCTCGAATAGACCTCCAGTAGACACACCCCTCCCCCCAAATCTCGTGCATATCATAGAACCAATACAGGGCTACGATTAAGCGGCAAAACGGCTCCTGCCCATGGGACAGGATGACCGCCACATGCTGGAGCTCTGCACCTCGCTCATCTCGTTCACCGTGATCAAATGCCTCCAGTGATGTACCTACGTACATTACATGTAGCAGAGAGTTCGACAGGCCACCCCTGTTACAGCAGCGCATGCGTGGGGATCCCTGTCGCATGCGCTAGCCATCAGGACGACACGTTTGTCCTTCTGGCAGAGACCAGCCACCCACAGCGCGCGGAGAGCAGACCGCTCCACGGGTGCATCCTTGAACCCTCGAACGAAGGTTTGCCGTTACACTGTGCGATTATCTCAGTTTCTCTGGTACGACAAATCTCGACCATAGAGGAAAGATTGAATAGTTGGGTGCACAGTAAGCTGAGTGTCAAAGACGCTCGGTGCCCGTTATTCGACTCAGCGCAGCATTTGAACCCAAGGAGTCTTGACGACAACTCTCGGAGTATACGTAGGCTGTGGAGTGCATCTTCATACTGTAGACCGTGCTCGCGGAAGTGGCCGACGTCGATACGGGCCAGTTGTGTCAACCTAGGGTACACTTGGATTCAGCGCCGCCAGTGCCCACTGTTGGGGCGAAAGGGGAAGCAGTCGTCCATGCAGTGCGAGCTGGTCTCGTCAGCTGGACTGAGGTGTGTTACATAGGTTGACGGACTGCGCACAATAGCAAAAGTACAGGGTGGTCATCGTCATGTCCTTCACCAATGCTAGAGTCGAGTGATGTTCTGCAGCAATATATCAGAGCTTAGTAGAAAAAAAAACTTAGCCTTGGGCCTTGTCCTACAATTATCTGAGCAAGTCGTGAGCCGAGTGGCGTGTTCCAGGGAAATACAGCCGTTGCTGGCAAAGAAGTGGCGGATATGCCCTCGAATCCTCTTTTCGCTTATGATGGTGCGTGGGCTCGTGCACATATTATGTGCTGTGCGGGCCTCCGAGTCATGCCGGTTGGCGATCGCCTCGTGCCGGCAATGTGGTCATGTTGAGTATGATAGCAGCGACTGGATGCTGGATCTGTCACGCAGACATGCAGGCGATGCATGTAGTTACGTGGCAATGACAACAACGAGCGAATCATAAAGTGTAAACAGGGACGGCAGGATTGTCGACGGTAATGAATGCAACAACAGAAATCAACGCACCACAAGACCTGCTCTGGTTGAGCGAGGCAAATCTTCCACTGGACGGTGTCCAGGTGGGTGGGCAGAAAAAGATTGTCAGCATATTGCCGGAGCTTGGCGGTACGGCATGACTTGGCACACTCCCAGAGATCCCCCCCTGCTTAAGGCAGTGTCGTTGCCGGCAAGACGATGTGTGTTCCTCGTTCGCCACTATTCGAGACGGCCTGACGGCACACGGATTTGTGATTGGGCCGTACCATTCCAAGTTCACTGGCAGAAGGCTTTCTGTGAGCGACTGGTCGATCTGAAGTGAGAACAAGTGGCCCACGGCTGCAGAAGATTACGAAGGTGTGCGCAGGATAGTGTGGTGGTGAAGGTCAATAGAGCTGCCGAGGCCTGGTTGCTCGGCCCAAGGTGGCCGTCGGCGGTCTTGAAATCACTTGCCATCGCGACCAGAAACATGTGGCGAACAAGAACCGAGAAACGATGCTCCAGTTGATGTAGTTGCCAGACGGACAGCCGAGAAGATGAGACGAAGTCAAGATACACTTCACAATGGTGATGCCATAAAGGAGCTAAGGCGACACTGTGCCCCTCCGAGGCAGGAAAGCGGTTTTAGTCCCTCCCGATGGTTCGGGTCGCTTGAGATCTGGCGAGGCCCTAAAGTCGACCGGTGACAGATCACTCCAGTGGTTATTGTCCTTGAGAGAGCCCCCAAACCAGGGTCTTGGAACTGGGCTAGTTTGGCTTGGGAAAGCAAAGCCGTTGGATAGCGGCAGATCAGGGCAGGAGATAGTGCCGCTAATGTCGACTGACGGATCTTGTTCGAATTGAAGGCCCGCAGACAGCTTACCATCATTGACAGTGAGGGCGCCAAGGTGTCAAGCCACCCAGGTCGTACATGGCGCGCGTGGTCGCACAAGGTCCGGGGCCGGGAGGCAGAGAAAGGCCTTGTCGACAGCGTCTTGATCAAGAAGGTCATGAGTCGAGGTAAACATGAAACGCCTGGGCAAGTGAAGAGAACGAGGGAGTCTGGGTGCCGTACTGGGGCTGGGGTCCCATGTGGCCTTCATGCTAGGTTCCTCTCCAAAGCGGACCTTGTCAAGGTGGTTGGGCCCCAAGGGTGATGCGAGTGTCGCGAGAAAAAGCCGCTCGTTGCGGGCAGTACAGGCGGTGAGGAATACACGAGCCAAGGGCCTGTGATCTGACGATGAACCGGAAGAAGAAGATGGCGATGAGGGGTAGACGGCAGGTGTCAGATGTCAGATTGAGAGCCTTGTTCAACATCCTGGGCTGGCCCAACCATGATGTGGTATCAGAGCAAGAACGGCCGCCGATGCTACCTGCCGAATTTCCTGATCCCTGGCAAGCAAGGGGGGAGAAGGGGGGGGGGGGGGGGGCTCCGAGGGGCCTGGCAACCTTGGACGTGGAAGGCACCACCTATGTCTAACCGATGTTCATGTAATGGCGGCATGCTGGTCGAGACGACTGGCATGGTCGCTTGTGGATGATCCCTGGCCAGTCTCTCTCCCCCCTCATCTTGAGAGAGAGGTCTTAAAGGCCGTCGGCATCTCAGCTACCTCAGCTACCTTACCTAGGTATCTAGGGTAGGGTAGACGGCCGCCGACGAGAGGCTGGCGGCTGGCATTTGCTTGCGATCCTCCGCGGAGCTCAGCAAACCTGCCTTTGTGGTCTGGTGCTGCCACCACCATGGTAGCCTGAGGGATGAAAGGGAGACTATGCAGAAGCGAGGGGTTTCCCGCGGGGTATTTTACACTGAAAAGTCGTATGGTGAAATGCATGCTCTCCGTTCGACCGCGCACCTCCTCCTCCACCCGCAGAACAGGAGCGACATTGGGAACCCTGGTCTACAGCCGTCCAGACACCCCGGCTGCAGCTCATGAGACGTGACAGACCGCGGCGCAGGGCGCAAGGCGCACTCGTCCATCCATCTCACTGACTGTTCGCTGGCCACTGTTCGCCGTGAGCCGGCAACCTTGATGACTTCACCTGGCACATCGAACTGGCGGGGGAAGCGAGCATGTGCGCTAGGAAATGGGGCGGGCGCCCAATATTCGTTCATTCTTAGGCTGGCACGGTTAGTCGATCATTAAACGACAATCTGCCCCCTGCTTCACGATGGACATCTGTGCCCTGCCGATGACGCTAGGAGACTTTCCTTCAGACCAAAAGTGAAGCGTAGACTATGGATAGAGTGCACTGCTTGCATGGCGTTTTCCCAAAGTGCAAGTTGCCGCAGGTCAATATTCCATTGACGCAATGATATCATGGATCATCACATCTTCTCAGCACGTACACACCAGAGGAGAACAGCCATTGAATCGATCGACCCAGACATGGCAGACCCTAAAGCGTGAAGATATTTCCGAGGGACGCAGCATGCAACTCTGCCCATGTCGAATCTGGGTTCGAATCATCGACGATTGAGCGCCTGAGGGCCGGACGAGAGAGGGACAAGATTGACTTCCGGTCGTTGCACATGTCCCCAAATTGCCTCGTGGTCTAGTGTCGTCAGTCATGTAACACACGAACGTGCGCCCTCCGAAGCGGGCGGAGAAAAGCGCGATGGATGGATGTGGTCCGACCATGCGGTCGCCTGCGTGTACGGTAGACAGACACCTTCGCAAAGCTACCAGCACCCAGCACCCAGCACCCAGCACCCAGCAGTCGTCTTTCCCGCCGACGAACCGAGCCACCAGTCCTCCCAGCACGAAGCTAGCGCTTATCGACGAAAGAAAGCCCCGAGACTCGAGCCTATTCTCTTTTTGTCCAAGTCCATAAGGATCGACGTTGCTTCGCCAGGCTCGAGTCAGGGTCCACACGAGACAACCGAGCTAGAGCCTAGGGGCGCGACCATTCCATGCGTCAGGCGCGAGTCGTGGGCTGCAGGTGAGCAGAGCTTGCAGGGGCAGGCCGGGCAGTTCATCGTGTCGAGGATTCGTCTGTCCGACGGCCGTTGCTCTCCCGCTGACGGACCTTGCACTGTCGCTTTGCCCAGGGCACCATCGGCGGCATCTGGGGGCTTTACTGGCAGCGCTACAGCGACTTAGCAGAGCGGCAGATACGACCAGCGCCTGCGCTTGGAGCATGACAGCCAGGCCCCCGGTGTGCAGTCGACAAGGTGCGCCCAGTAGCCGGCGATCGGGTTCTGAGGGACGTTGGCGAGAGAGCGGCGCGGGCGGGCGAGTGAGCAACGTCGAGGCACGCATGGGACAAAGATGAGTGAATACCCACGCGGCAGACGCGACGTGAGGCCCGCCAATGTCCGGTGATGCCAAGGCCCTGTGATAGAAGCAGAGGGAAGACGAGGAGCCGAGCATTGTGGCGATCGACGGCATGGCAGCATCTCAGCACCGACAATGCAGGGGTGGGCAGAGATGAGTCGGTCTGTTGAGGTGAGCAGATGAGTGACCGACTGGAAGAGTCGGCACATCAGTGGCCCCCTTCCACGGCGTGTCGGACATCATCATCAAGCATTAGCGGACTGTGACTCGATGAAAGACGAGGCAGAAAAAAGTGGAGAGGGGGAGAGAGAGAGTGAGAGAGTGAGAGAGAGAGAGAGAGGACCAACCTTCGCAAGAGACCCCCCTTGCCGGGCGCTCTGACCCACATGACCATCCTCCCACCTATCGGGGTTAGTGTGAGAAAAAGACGCAGATCTCTGGAACCCACTCATTTTCGATGCTCAGCACGGATCAGAATGCCATGGTCCAGGCATGGGTTCAGCTTCTAGTGCAAGGACCAGCCAGCAAGCCAAGCCAAGCAGACCCATCAGCAGCACACCCACGCTAAAACACTCCCAGACAGCATGAGCAAGAGGCGGAGAAGGCCCCCTGCTCGTCTTTGATCTACAGTGTCTCTTGCACACTGTGAGTATCCCAGCTTCCGGCGCATCATCACACTCAACATCACGGGCAAATCGATATTTCCCGCGCCTCCACCACATCAAAGGAAAACTCCGCGCACCTCAGACCAGCTCTTGACTTTGACTTTCTCTTCCAAACACGGGCCCAGTTTTCCTCGTCGTCAGGTGCCCGCAACGACAGCAATTGTGATCATGTTGCCAATGGCAGGGATCTGGACACGCCCAAGAAACCCCTCCCTCTCTCTTCCTCTGATGTGCCCCCCCGTACCTTCCTTAAGTCTCCACTGACACATGTATTGAGCGGGGCTTCCTTCCTCAGCTCTTGCCCTCGCGCAGTCAGTTCCGCTCTTGCCAGGAAGACACTGCACCTGGAACAAATATTGAGTATCAAGTCATTTGCCCAAACCGGTTGCGGCTGCCCTCGCCGGAAAGTATTGACTTAGGAGAATAGCTAGCGTATCCACATTCCTGACGTCGTCCTTGCCCGTCTGCCACAACAACACTCAGCAACGCGTGCATCGGCGATTACCCGACGCCCACACACAATCGGGTCCATGGTGAATGCTTGGTCACGGCGGCCCAGTCATGTAACTGTGTTTGAACCCTGTGGCCATGCCTGCCATTCATTGAGTTTATGAAGCTTTCTGATTTCAGACTGCATACTGTGAAAAGCGTGCCCGCCACCTGGCAGACAGAAGAACACGCTTCCGGGGTGCTTCAGGTTGTTGACACACGGTGTAGAGCCAATAAGCGACCGCGACGTGCATCCACTGACCCCACCCTCCCTCCGTTCTCCTTCTCCTTCTCCAAATCCATGGAACCACGCTGTATAGTGCCACCCCCCCCCCATTCCGTTCTTCGTGAGCATCCTGGGCCACCACATTGCCGACCTCCCACGCTGTTTTTTGCAGGAACCCTGCCCACCCTTGCCCCCTGGTAAGTTGGTTCCTGCCCCCCCCCCCCCGCCCCCCTCGACGAGGCCCAGAACAGAACACAGCAGCAGGCAGTCAGGAGAGAGAGGCCGAGAGAAAGAAAGAGAAGGTAAAGTAGACAGGTACCAATAGGGAGAGTTCAGCGCGCTGTGTACCTCCGCTTCGGCCCCTCCAGGAGACGACAAGTCGTTTACTTCACACCAGCTCAAACCCAGTGCTGTGTTCATGAGGAGCCGCTCGTCTGCCCTGGCCTGGTACATGGTATCTCCCTATACAGAACAGTACAGTTTTGCCCACGACCACCCTCGTCAGAAAGAACAGGGCCAGGCCCCTTCCATTGTCTGAAGCAACCCCAAGCATTGCCATCCCGGGGCGGTCAGCATCTGAGCGCGCTCTCTCTCTCTCTCTCTCTCCCTCCCCTTCTGCTCGTTTCCGGACTCATCTGGATGCTCTTGGGCAGATGTCCGGAACATACAATCACAATCTTTGTCTCTGACGCCGACGGACGACGAGGCATTGCATCATAGGCCCCTTTCGGCAGGCGTCGCAATTACTCGCGCTTTTTATCTGCACGAGGTCTCGAGTCAGATGTCTTCGGCTCTGTCGTGGGGACCGACCCAGAGATCTCCATCCGGACGCGTGAGATACCGAAATCCTCGCCGCTCAACACCTGTACCACAGGTGAAAATTACCCACTCACACCCCTAGTCTCCAGCTCGCCAGGCACCCCCCTCCCTACATGGTACTCACGCATACGAGCCGACCACCTCGTCTGTCGCCTGTCCCAGTCTCCCAATCCCAGTCCCGTCTGCAACCAAGTCAAAGTCACTTTTGGTTTTGACGAGCGTAGACCTCGTCACCAGATCGAACTCTCCGATTTGCAGTACATGCATACAGCACAGTACCTACTTTTTGCGGCCACAGAACGACCAGAGCACACCGTGCCGTGCCTGGCGCAAACAGGCCACGACGAAAACAGAATTGCCCACCCCACGAGTCGAGGCGTGAAAGGTCTACACTGGTGCCTCTCTTCCTCTGTCCCCCTCTCTCTTTCACTGCTTCTGGTGCTCTCTGCTGCTCTTCACTCCGCTTGTTCGATGCGACGCGTGCTCTGGGACCTGGGCTAACACACGGCAAGTCCGTCCGCTTCGTCAGGTGGATCATCAACGACGTTCCTGGTGAGGTGAAGTGAGGTGACGAGAGGTACCTTGCCAGGCAAGCTACGATTGCGGAGTGACCAGACGAAGAGTGCTGCGCTTTCGCAAGCTTCGGCATTTGTGCAGTCCAGCACACCCACTACGCATCGACAATCCACTCGTCCATCCTTTATCCACCGGGGGGTGCCTCGCCTCGTCCCTGGCTACGTCGACACCCCATTCCCCTCCTACTTCTCAGGCGCCCTCCCACCCACCCGCTTCGAGGACACCACCGACA